CTGCAACAGTGGCCACAATTTCGGCCCCAGGAATAAAAGATAGGCCAATATAATAGCCGCCATGGATGTTGTGCTGTTTGCAAAAAGCTGAAAGAAAAAAGGTGTTCATCAAATTGTGCATTTTCTTCTATCTTGTGAGTTGAAGCAATCAAAGTACCAATTTGAAACCTTTGCGAAACAGATGAAACAGATGATTTTGCAGTTTTTCCTAGCGCATAGAAAACAACATGATACCTTTTTACGTCTGTGTTAGTAAGTCAGAGAAATGTTTCAATGCAAGCTCGTTCGTGTTAATCCATAGATGAAGATACAGGGCTAATTTAAACACAGAGAAGTAAACATCATGTGCCCGCTCTGTTCGAGGTTTCTTTTCTGTGTCTGAATTAGCACTGTGTTTTCGTCGACGGGTAAGTCTGAGCTACAACAGGGTATACAAATGGGTTGTAATGTATAGGCTCCTTCGCTAAGCAGAGAATCGCAGCGTGGTGTGATCACACCAGCAAAGTCTGTTTTACATGCGAGCAACTGTGCGGCGGTGGTCGAGCAGCGTTGCAACTATAGTCGGTGAATCTTTTTAATAAATAATGTTCATTTGTTCACCGATATGGCCATTAAATAATTAATGAAACGTTCGTCGATTAATTCGATTATTCGTCACTTTCTGACAGGTGCTATCAAAACAAGTCACAGCTTTGCTACAAAGTCGAAGCAATGAACGCAATGGCAACAAATTGGTAGGTGACGCAGAGAATGGCAAGCAGATCGAAACGTGTCCCGCGTTTCTCACGCACAAATAACGCACTAAACGTATTCACAAGTACAGATTAACGCAATTAACGCTGTATCTGAAAAGCGTGCTTTTTTTTTGCAAACGGAGACTGTGAAACAATTGCAGTGACTTTTGCGCGCCCGGTAACTACAACAGAATTGCTCCGGTGAAAGCCAAAGGGCAGCCAAGACGTACGATCCTCGCCACCAACAGATAGATATAAGGGTGCGAGACTGAGCGTCCACCCCTCCTCTTCGCGGGGCAAAATACGCGTGGGAGATAAGAGCGCGCACTGCGGCGTTGTGACGATGTGGCGACGCAGGCTCAATGCGCCATCTGGCAGGTAATGCTGCAAACACGATAGTCTCCCCCGAGATGCCCATCACCAGCATTAAATGGCAGACATAAATAGCTTGCCGTTTGAGCTTGAGGGAGGTGCTCCTCCATGGCTTATTATCAATGGTTAACGCCTCACACTCACGTTTGAGAGGTCCAAAGTTCGATTCCGCGCGCCGGAGTCATTTTCTGTTTTTTTTTCTTACGTTTTTATATATACAGCATGCCCCAGCTATCTTTAGCCAGAGTTTAAAAATATGCTGAAACACGCAATTACGACGTGATCAAATGCATGTTGCTGACCGTTGCCTGGAGTTTGACTACTTTTGGTGTTCTGAAATATTGTTTAATTGTGCCACCGCGGCACCTCAAGTATATTTTGTTAATACTATATATTATAACGGGGAATTGCTAGTGAAAGGATAAACATACGGTATAAAACTTAGCAAGGCCTGGAAATAACGGATCAAATAACGTTTCCTTTGGCCACGCTGTGTCTCAACACTAGAACTGGTGTTTGGTTGACAACTAGCCCGCACGGCTAGCTCCCATGCTCTTCCATCAATTACGCACCTATTCAAAAAAAGGTCAGCATGGCAGCAAACTAGCCAAAAACTTGAGTGACCGCAACATTAGCACGCGTGAATAGTCGCTCAGAATCGGCAAATGGTCGTGCTATCGACAACGCACAAGATGGCTGTACGCACGGAAGGGTGTAGGAAGAGAGAAGGCGCCAACTAAGTTTTCAACTTCTTTCATTATTTTACAAGAAGCATACGTATAGCTCACGTACTGCACTTGAAATAATTACTAGACGCCTTTGAGCCGCTAGGCGTACAACTACAGACCGGCAATTCCTTCACGGAAATCCCTAAACTATTTGACATTGAAATTAGGAGTCTAGAGTTTGCTATGCGATAGAACTTGCAGTGGAATTTGTATATTTGAAGTATTCGAACTTTTCTGAGACAATTACATCCCACGTCCAATTGGCGTTGGCCCCTTCTTATTGTTACGAGAAGAAACTGGGCCCACGATTGCAGAGTTGGTGTATTCACAGTGATTGCAGAGGTTTTTCAGGCAGAGATAAGTCCCATCGGCTTGCCTACGGAGCTGCCTTTGGAGCTCCGCTACCACTGTAAGTGCACAGACTCACAAAAAGCGATAGTCTGAACCTACGAGACACAGGCAGGGCTTCAATTAATGCCGTTTCCGACCAGAAAGTTAAAAAATTGGATGAAAATTATCAGCATTCCTAATTTCAGATATTTTTATACACCGATATCTACAGGGCAGCCTGGAAACTCTGAATTCAAAGCACTCATGCCCTTGTCTACCAAATCAGTTGAGCCTCCTTAGAAGTTGAAGAAGGGAGAGGTTGAAAAAATGGCATCTTTTTGTTCAACATGAAAAGCATCGTGACACCACACTGATCGCATCAAATCATGTAAATAAATGCAATTTGGTCTGAGCATTGCCTCATCCTCGACAAAACAACTGGGAACACAGTCCCGCAGTAATCCATCAATCTATAGTGAAAAAAAAGCTCTTTCATATTTCGATCTCATGACAATGGGTTTAGGCATCCTGTGCAAACATTTCTTTTGTCGTTTTACTAAGATGTATTCGAAAATCATTGAACAAATATTCGAGAACTGTTCGAAAACTACTAGATTCGAGGTCGCTTCGCACATAAAATGTTGCTATTCACACATCTCCAAAACAATGCATGTTTGCCTCACATGCGCCATGAAAAGGAGAATTTTTTTTGGTAGATATACACTTTCGCGTGTTGTTATACACTTATATAGGTGATGCCGTATACCACAGAAGACCGACAAAGTGTGACTTTGTGTGTGCGTGTTTTTCTATCTCCCTTTTTCTTTACTTCTGAAGTCTCCTACACCTTTATTTTCTCATGTAGATTAGCATAGCGGTCATTCTAAACTGGTTAACACTCCGTCTATCTCTTGTTCCATCCGCAAAAACCTATGGACCGTATACTTTGCATTGTGTAGAAGCGAACTGTAAGCGAGAGGACAAAACAAAAAGCCAGTCTTGCTCGACCGAACGGCGTTATGAGAGAGTGGTAAATTACCCATTTCGCAACAAATCCCATTTCACAACAAATTACCTGCCCTCTGCAGTGCACACATGCTGTTTGTTATACACGGACGTCTGGCGCAGGGCTTGTACGTGAGTCTATATATGCCATGGCGCGCAGGTTGTGCGGCTGCAGCCAAGCAGGCAGCGTGGACAGCCCGCCATCGTGCAACCCAGACACTGGCGTGTGCCGCTGCAAGGCCAACGTTGAGGGGCGCCAGTGCGACCGCTGCAAACCCGGCTTCTTCAACCTTCAGCGCGACAACGAATTCGGCTGCACACCGTGCTTCTGCTTCGGCCACTCAGCGCTCTGCCAGAGCGCGCCCGGTTATTCGCGGTACAGCCTGCTCAGCGCTTTCGCCAGAGGTGCGTTCATCTGCCGAAATGCACCGATCTTGACGGGCGGGTGTTGAGTGACCTGCGTGGCTGAGCAACTCGTCGCCATAAACGGTGTCGCAGTGTTGTCGCGTTAAATTTAGTGCTCCTTTTAAGTTCGGTTGATCTGTCACACGATCTATCACTCTCTAGACCCCTAGCTTCTTTCGCCAGCGGCAGTCTTATGCCGCTGCCACATGTTGAATTCCTTCGATTTGCTGCTTTGCAGTGTGTTCTAAATCCTTGTGTCCCATTCAGGGTAAGCGGTATTCTTCTAGATACCATATTCAGAGTGTTTCAACCAACTTGTACCAAGTAAACTTTTAAATTTCGGGCGCTAAGGAAAACTGGAAAGATATAATTGGGGCAGTTACGTTTGGTGCCAGGCAGTTATCTTTGCATAGATGAATAATCCACATGTTTTTAAATAAAAGGTACATTTTTTTCCATTGAATATGTTTCATAAAAGTTACTATTTTCAATGTTAGTTAAGAAATCCTTATTAATTACCCAGCTTATCAGATTGACCGTTATCTTAGGATGAATGAAACATTCGTACATTCCAGAAAAAGCACTACAACTTTTGCACTGAAGCCTCAATAACTGAGAATAATTGTTTGTTGAGTACCTGGATTGTTGGATGGGAACAAATATATTGACGAGCTGCTCAAAAAAAAATACTGGACCAATTAGACGTGCGTAGCACATGTACTTGTAATACGAGACACGAGTTATGTGAAACACTATCTATGCTGCTTAGCATCTTTTGATATGGCACCTGCCTTTTTGTTGAATGCTGCCTGTGAACTTTTGCTGCCTATCAAAAATGCCCACACAGTTGAAGTTTCCCACAAGAAATGCCCGTTGGTGATTCACAGAGAGCTCTGTGCTTCAACTCAAAACATCTTCCATGTGGTTATAGAAGCAAAAAGTGGGCACGATTAGAATCACTTCGTGGGCATTGACTCTCTATTGGGTTTTGTTCGTTTTTACGGTGTCTGCGACTTCTTAGCGGTTCTTTGTGCGCAACCCATCCACTTCAGATAAGGAGCACTGGAAGGCGGCGGACTCTCTTGGCCGCAGTGTAAACACCCGCCACGAGTACGCCGCCCACCACTTGGCTGTGGTGGCACCCGGAAAGGAACCAGTCTACTTCCTCGCACCAGGTAAGAGGAAACACAGTACCGACTGTGGTATGTGTACTAGCTTATATAAATGTGTTGCGGGTTAGTTTACTATGGCATTCTATGCTTTATTTCGTAATATCGCAGAGATTGTTCGCTATTTCGCAACGTTCCTATAATTAAGCATAATTTTCTTCTGCAACTCAGCTTAATGGCATGCACTTGCCGATGCATGGGCTATATAGTGTGCACCAGTGCGTGTGCATCTGTACATTTTGTGGCACCGCAGACCGGTACCTGGGCGACCAGCGTGCCTCATACAACCAGAACCTGACGTTCACCTTGCGTATCGGCGAGGAAGGACCGCAGTCATCGGTGGAAGACATCGTACTGGAAGGGGCGCACGGCAGCGTGTCGCAGCACATTTTCGGCCAGGGCAACGGGTTACCATCCATACGTAACCAGGAGTACCGCTTTCGTCTGCACGAGGACCCTCGATACGGCTGGAACCCAACACTCAGTTCGCGGGAGTTCATCAGCATCCTCTCCAACCTCACTGCCATCCGGATAAGGGCTACATATGTGCCACGAGGTGAGTATACCACTGACGAGCACTCGCTGCCTCTGCAGTAATGCCCCTCTGAGAAGTTCTTCTGTGTGCGAATTAAAAGCTCGCACGGAAGCGTGGAGTTGTCAGTGGTGCGATAGAGGCTGCTTGAAATGCGATGCCGGCTACAGAGTCATTGGTAAGGACAAGATTCAGAGCATTCAACAGCATGAAACTGCTGGGTTTGTAAAAAACCGCATAACAAGCCGAACAAAAACAGAGCACAAATGGATTAGGGGATGAAGCGCCGCTTCGTTGCAGCATATACGCCTTAATTTTCATTTCTTGTGAACAACACAAAAAACAGGCAGCTGCTGTTTCCTGGCAATGCCTAAGTATAGAAAACATTTTGAAACGCATTGTTAAGCTGCAGGTCATAATTATTAAAGACAATGTGTTTAGATGTCTCTTCCAACCACTTTGTGCAACAGGGTATGGTGTGTAATGTCCAGTTCATATCCAGCAGAAGCAGGAAGAAAAAAAGCAAACAAAAATGGGATATGCACTTTTGGTTGCTCATTGACGTCCGTTTGTTGCGAGCTCTTAAGTTGTTTCATGTTTCTACTTCTCGTTTATTTGTTTCAACTATGATACTTCAACATCAAAAATATATTAAAAACCAGCGATGAATTGATTAGATCTTTCGCATTTAAAGGGATCGAGTTCGACAGTATTTCTTTTTTATGATGTTATCTTATGCATCAGTGACGGTGCTGTAAATGATCCCGCGATCGACCAGTGGTCTCAATTGTTCTTCCTCGGTTCATCAGCGTATGTCTCCATACATGGGGAATGAAAGAAAACATATATCTTCGCAGGCACCGGCTTCATCGACAACATCCAACTGCAGTCGGCGCAGCGTTCCCCTTACGGCACTGAGGCTGCCACCTGGGTCGAGATGTGCAATTGCCCCGAGGGATACGTGGGCCAGTTCTGCGAGTCCTGCGCGCCCGGATTTCGGCACGACCCACCTCGCGGGGGGAAATTCTCCCGCTGCGTGCCGTGCAACTGCAATGGGCACGCGCTCATCTGTGAACCGGACACCGGTCAGCTTGTCTTGCATTTATTTCTAGCCCATTCAGCGGGACACATACACTCACCTTCATCCTATGGAACTCACTTCAGCCTGCTGACCGCACTTAAGCAGTTTAATCCCGCACGGGCTGTTTTAGTTCAGTACCTTAAATCGAGGCCGGGGAGCGGGGGAATGGGGGGGAGGCAAACATTGCCATTTGAATGAAGACCTTTCCGGTAAGGACATTCGGTGCCAGGATTCCAACAGCATGTCGATATCAACCTCTAAAATGACTACATTTGTATTATTTGTGTGCCAATTCTGAAATATAGCTTTTGTTATACGTTTATGTTTCAGCACATAATGATCACATGGCATTTGTCACAAAAGCAATGATTCAGACAAATAATGCCGTGAGTATCTCGTGAACATACTTATTGATAAATAAATAGTGTGGTGAAGACAGGCATGTGCAGACCGCAGGCTGGGTGTTTGAGATCATTGTATGTCATCACTCTTGGAATATAAGCAGCTATAAACCAAAGAGAACCGAATCGCTGTGTACACATGGAGTTAGCACGGGCATTATAAAGCTCCGTATCAAGCTTTCATTTAAGCTAAAACTGACACATTTTTGGGCTAGTCATTTAAGCTATTTCTCTAGCTTGATGTAATACCGTATTTACCCAAATTCAATGTGCACCCGTTTTCTTTGACCAAAAAAAAAAAAAAAAAAGACTAAGCACCTATTGTCGACCGGGAAAAAAAAAAGAAAAAAATTATGAACGGCATACCAAAATGGCAGGCTGCACTACTGTTACCACTCTCTTCTGCATGCAGAATGACGTTAAGCTTAAAGCTATTCTCGTGGCAGACACGTCGCGTCTTCATGGCTGCTGCAACCATTCTCACACCAGAAGGGTAGTAGATTGCAGGAGGCTCTGGCAGCTGTAGCACAACACAGAATGACAGCACGGGAACAACTGATAATCGGGTCCCATGCAGTCAATCTGCGTAGCTCTCATTGTGATGCTGTCAGTCTTAAAGCAAATGTGATGATATGGGCAGCTACGGGAAACCTGTGGTCTGCACGCGAATCCAACGCGCATGTGATTTTAAGGCCTATTTTTCCTGAAAAAAGGTGTGCGTTGGAATCGGCTAAATACGGTATTCCTTGACAGTATGTAATTAAGGTGGCGTCCAATGCGCCAACGTACCACATGTTCAGCCACTCACGTTCACTGTGAGAAGGTGTCAAGCGCTCGCATCGCTCTTCACAGCACAGCGATGACTAAAAAAAAACGACGTTACTGTTTCCTTCTTTACCGTACCGTTTGTCACTATTCATTGCTGGTTCGACCTGCCTTTCACGTACGGTATGGGGGCCCGTTCATGGCAGTGGATAAGAAGAATGGTATCAGTACCAGCACATCAGTATTCTTGAATTGAATTGAGTTTATCTCTCATGTTTACAACACAAAGGAAGCGAAAGACTTCTGCTCCTTCAACAGTTCGGCATGCAGGCCATACATAGCACACAAATCAATACAAAATATGCCGTACATGCAACTTCTAGCAAAAAGTAAATGTCATGCCTATGTAAAATGTTAAAAATACAATAAAGCACAATTAAAGAACGTTTTGCCGTAAACAACAACTAAAACATTGAGTAAAAACAATAAAATTGACGTCTTTTATTGTACACAATCTCGATGTCGTGTAAAAAAAAGATATCCTGAATGACTCATCCAAACCATAACCTCATCAAAAAGTAGTGTGGTCTACTAACAGGTAACTGTGTAACTGTTTCTCATAATTATTTTTTAGTTTTGGTGTTTTCAAAAATGTCCAATGATGCAGCACGAAGTGCTGGGTGCGTTTGTAATATATTGTGTTCTGTTCGATGTGTTGTATCAACTTGTAGTACACTTGATTTGCCTTTAACATCAGTGATTCATTAGCCTGTCTCATATCGCATCTTTCATTCAGTCTGACTAAAAGCGAACAAATAATAATGAGAGGATAACATTACACTGTACCTTGGATTACAGAGAAACTTATAAATATTGACATCTTATATTCATTAGGGTCAAAGTATTTGCATTTCATTCACTTCGCATAGGTGCATTTCACGTAAAGGCACCTTGCAAAAAGTCTGTGCATTGCTTATAGGGAACGACAAAAAGATCAAGGAAAGATGTATTGGTAAAAATCTCCATTGAGTGTTGTACACATGCTGCGTATAACATCTGTAACTAAATTCTTCTCACGCTATTACTGGGCTTCACTATATGATCCTCACTACTAATGGTACTGGTGCCTAACTGCAGCCGCATGGTACTTCGTTTTGGCAGTGTTGGGAGTTTCTATGAGCGAGTCATTGGCACAGCAAGTGGGCATCCATTCTATGTATTGAGCGGGCAAGTTTCCGCTGTCACGCCCACAGTAATTGTTTGATAACCTCAATCCCATGTGCTACCAAAACAACAGTACTATTTGGCAAAATAATGCGTGTGAACAGTGTTCTAATACTAACCAGGAAAGGAAATCGATCTGCTTGGTGTCTGAGCACTGACTACGTCTACTTTACTGCATACAGCCAACTAAAATCAACAACACATTTGCGGCTCATCTTAATGCCTTCCAGCAAAGTCAGAAATAGCTCGTGCTTCGAATAAATACTCGGTGGTATAACAAGGATTGAAGCCCAGTCCTCAAGCCCTATCACGTTTTCTTACGTGTACCTTGATTGAGAGGCGTAAACAGCAAGTTAGATAGATCATTGAGCAAAAACACAAGAAAAGGGCACACCGGAGGACAGCAGCAGTAAGTGCCAACTTGCCCCTTCCCCGCCCAAGTACTCTTGTGAAACTACAAATTGAAGCTTACCAAAATGTTCTTAAATTGAGGACAATGCAGCGTGGCACAGAAAGGAAAATGATAAGGGTAAACACAGACGAGTAAAAAAGAGCCCAGTTAGTCGTAATGAAGAAGAAGAAATGCACAGAAATGTAGGCGACTGCTGGTCATTATGAGTGGGTTCCAAGAGAAAGTAAGCGCGCAAGCGGGAGGCCGGGTGGGCAGAGAAGATTAAGAATTTTGCGAGAATAAACGTGGAAGCAGCCAGCATAATGCTGGGTCAATTGGCAGAACATGACATAGGCTTTTGCCCTGCAGTGGACGCCGCCAGGTTCATGATGATTACTTAAAGAGAGCATATAGCAAATAGCTATACCATAGTTGCTCTAGTATGTGGCTAGATGCACCCCGACTTCGAGACGTCTATTTCCTTTCCTGCACAGTATTGCGGGTGCTTTGCTTGTTTTAACCATGTGGTGGTGGACGCTAACCACTCGGTTGCGCGGGGTGTAGGGCACTGCATCTGCCAGCATAACACGGCGGGCGAGTTTTGTGAGCGTTGCGCACCGCGCTACTACGGCAACGCGCTGGCGGGCACCCCGGACGACTGCAAGCCGTGTCCGTGCCCCGACCAGGGCGCCTGCGCCGTCCTGCCCGACGAGAGTGTCGTCTGCCTCGAGTGCCCGCAGGGATATTCTGGTGGGTGGTGCCACTTAACACCTCTCTTTGTGGCCGCACTCTTCTCTCCATTTCGTCGAGCCTGCGAGGCCAAGGCATGCATAAAATTATAGTAAGCACTGGCCAATGGGCTTAACAGTATCGGAGTTTTCTCATCTGGGCTCTGTTCTAGTTAAACACTCTCAACGTTGCATCAAAGACAAGATGTATAAACAAGCAACAGTACTTGTTCCTAATTAATGTTCACTGTTGGCTCAGTTTAGATTAGGCAAGCAATGTTGTAATGGCCGAGAGCATTGTCACGCATTTCGTGTGGATCTGTCTAGGAATCCTGATGTAGAGAAATAATATCCACTATTCACAACTACTTCGTCAAAACAGAGTAAACCATCAGGACTTCCACAGTGGGTCTTCCAAAGTTTCGTATTTATTGCTGTAAACTCCCGTTCTATAGTTTTGAGGCTCCTCGTGGTGCGTAACAGAACATTCCGAGCACGCGCTGTCGTCTTGGTTTCGCTCTCGAAAATGTGACAAAAACAAGACAAAAAATAACAGCTGTCTATATAGCTTTCGAGCACATGCTCTTTAACTATGGTTTGTGTGGCGCCTCTCTCTTTTGCTGCAAATTTCATTTTACAACGACTAAAAGGTTGGCGTTTCTCTTTAGAAGGCTCTCCTAATATAATGCCTATGTAACCGACACTCTTCTCACAAGGTGAATTCTGTGTATGCTTTCTTTTTTTTTTTTTTGTGTGTGTGTCCGCCCAAATGCTCATGGAAGCGACGTAAGTTAGAGCTCATTTAAGCATTTTCAACTTCATCCAGGCAGTTAACAAACACAAGATAGATGATTGTCAATAATTATTTCTCTGTTCTTTGTCTTTTTAGGACCCAGAAAACTAAATTTTCTGAAGAATTCTTCTATATAAAAATTTGCACAGCTAGTTTTTGTTCTACATCAATTGTATTGTTAAATAAAAAATCGATGATGTCATAGATGGTCTATAAATATATTTGTTGAAGTGGCATGGAAAAAACTTTGCGCAGCTCTAAGAAGCTGACAAGTAGGCGTGTAATTGCAATTTTTAATTACAATACCTGATGCTCGGGGCTTGTGGCGTAGCGTATTTGCAGGTGCGCATAAGACTAAAAAGACAATTAGAAAGGATGCATCCAAGCCCTAGTTTGTGTTAGTGACTCTATAGTTAATCTACAGTGTCTCGACTAACCAGGTGGGTTTCTGATAAATATTTACGTACAAGTATTAGTATGTGTTGATCCCTGTTCTTCTCTCTTGAAACGTTACATATTGGACACTGGAGTTCATCAATACTAATGCTGTAACTTTTTAGAAAGCATCGTACATGAACTTCTCGGCAGTTCGATCGCATAATAAATGCACCCGAAGATACTGCGTGTCCCGACCGCACTTGAGGCTTCAGCAGTGAGCACACGGTAGACTATGTCATAATCTCTTTCATGGCAACCACGTTGCGCACTGCATATGGCAATATGAAGCTTGCACAAAGCACACTCAGAGGCACTCTAGGCAATATAGTACTTCGTTCATATGGCCTTTGAACTCTTGAAACTTTGTAAAGCAGCACTTGCACATGCAAATGTCAGTGACTGATGCGTGCCTAAACAAGAATTTCTGTTGACAGAGGCACGAGAGAAACTATCTTACGCCATTTACAAGTGATAATGTATCTATTATTATTAATCACGCTCATGTACAGAACGTCTGAAATCCGACAATGTATTACGCAAGATAAAGAAAAAGAAAAGTGATATAAAAATTGGCGTCCCACTTTAGGAAGGAGATGCGACTTGTGCTTCGACGGGCACTATGGTGACCCGCAGGGAAACTTTGGACCCAAGGTGCCTTGTAAGAAATGCGACTGCAACGACAACATTGACCCCAACGCTGTGGCCAACTGCAACACGTGAGTGGGGTTTTTTGACGTACTTAAAGGGAAGTGGCTTATCATAAGTCAATTAAAAACAAGGGACACTGTGCACAGTAAATGTAGCTCACGATTTTTTTCAGGTCGAGGTATTCCACCTTCATGACATTCGCACCGTTGTTCGAACTTCTGTCCAACTCACAATGATCTGCTTTAAAATAAAGTGTTTTAGTTTGTTAACGTTATAGTATTGTACGCGGGAATTTGAATTTCTACTGATTTTTGTTTTTTTAACCGTTGAGCATGACACGCAATGGAGAGAGCCGCATCATGTACTGCTACAAAAGCATGAAGTAACGTCCTGTTCTTGCGTGGCCAGTCGTACTATGCTGTGCTTTTAAGAAAGAGTAGTTGTCGTCGATAGACTAGCATGCTTTTGACAGTACTTTGCACAATATAGCATACTATAATTCGCGTTATGATACGCAACAGTTGTTTAGCATTACTTTATCGCTCTATTGTGAGAGGTTTATGCAATACGCTCAGTCGAGCTCACATCCAATACTCTGCATTCAGTAAACGCGACATTTCATGCACCTAAAATTCCTCTGCAGGACTACTGGCGAGTGTCTGAAGTGCGTGTACAACACGACCGGCTTCAACTGTGAGCGCTGTTTGCCCGGGCACTTTGGAGATGCGCTGTCCGTGCCCAAAGGAGACTGCAAGCGTGAGTGTCTTGAGAGGTGACCTATACCTGGAAGCGAGTACGCACATAGGCTGCAATGTTCCGAATGTGAGCTTAGGAGCTTAAATAGAATGACACGGCTTCAATCACGATACGGCTCAGATTTCTCACGAAGGTCTTATTTTGCGGCGCGTTATTATTTATTATTAGAGTTGTTCATTACTCGTGTACCTTCTTTACAAAAGATAAGAAGTAATTTTCATCTACATCCAAGCCAAAGATAATGATTAGGGCAAATGGAACAATGCTGGGGACAAAAGATAAACGAATCGATGGCCATAAAAGGCGACGCATTCTTTAACTGCCGAGTGGACGAATGCTACCGTAAAAGGCAAAGCTATCATTAACTACCGAATAGACAAAGCTACAATAAAACTTAATTTTTTTTATATCACTCTATAGCGATGCATAATTGTGATCAATTCTATCAACGTAACAGGCACCTAGATTTGGTAATAAAATATTCCCGCCTTGGAAATATATCTTCTCACAAAACTTGAACGCGAAGGAGACAGCACTGTAAATATTAACAAATAATCCGTTCATTCTACTCATACATAAAGCTTTCTCTATATACTGAAATTACCAAGTGTACATAATAAACAAGTTTTTGTTTTCACTATAGTGTGGCTCGCTGGAGAACCAAACGGCTAGGAAGCGGCCATATCATATGAAGATTGCCAAAATATTTGCAAATGACAGCAGCATCGAATTAATTTTTCTCAAATGTGTACTCACTGCAAACTATGTGCTTGTACCGTTGTTAGGGTGGCGTTTCCAATTTCGCAGGCGTGTGTATTCTTTCAGTATATCGACAGTCATTTGCTAAGCAAAGTAAATCACCTGAACGGGATTATTTGGCCTTGAAAGTAACAAAAACATGCGTGCAGAGCACTATTTTTTAGTGCGTGTATCTGTGTACTGATAAGTGAGGTTAAATGCTGTTTAAACAAACATGAACAGAATAGAGGTAGTCAATAAGAAAACATCGCTGATCGCTCTTTCTAGGAATCGGTACAAAATGAAACCAAAACGTGTCTTCACAGTGGCAGTAAAGCCTTTATTTTGCATTGTTTTGCCACAAGGATGAAAGAATGAATGTTACAGCAAAAAATTGTAATCTCATGCTAAGAAAGACAAGCAGCTCAGAACTTAGAGTGTGCATTTTAAGTAGAAAACACGCAGAAAATAAGCACACTCATGACGAGCACGTACTCACAACTGTCGCAGCTGCTCGACACCTAAAATGCACTGCTCAAACATAAATAAAGACGCACGAAACGAACGCACAAATATACACAGGACGAACGCAAACAACTGTTACAATTCTTAGTTTATCGCGTGTGAGCAGTGCGATCCTTGCATAGACGCGGCCATGAGCAAAGTAAACTTCGTGCTCTCTCGAATCGTGAAATAAGTGCGCGAACAAGAGACTATGCCCTGTGGAGGCGCGTGCGCATCGGAATGCGAGGGCAATGCCCTTTCGAGTGTGCCCAATGTGCGCCTTTCGCGCCATCTCGCTACTGATGACAAAAACGCACTGAGGTTGGAAAGCTCTGTGGACGGCGTAACTTTATATGGTGTATATGAATAGCTTGCAGTTAGCAAACTAGGGTACGATGCAGTTAGCAACGTACTCTACGTGGCCTAGTGGTTTCGTGCTGCACGCTTTGCAGCGAGAGGTGGTAAATTGAACAGCCCCCTATGAAACTTTCATTGTTGTAGCAATTATAAGGACACTCTTGGATGATTTTTGCCATCGGCGTCGCCGTTTGTATTTGCCATCATGCCCGACATATATATATTCTGTTCACTACTGGTGAGTGTCTGAAGCGCGTGTACAACACGACGGGCTTCAACTATGAGCACTGTTTGTACGCACACTTTGGAGACGCGCTGTCCATGCCCAAAGGAGACTGCTAGCGGGAGTGTCTTGACAGGCGATCTATACCTAAAAGCGAGTACACACATATGCTGCAATGTTCCGAATGTGAGGTTAGGAGCTTAAACAGAATCACACGGCTCGAATCACGATACGGCTCAAGAAATAGAGGAGCACACTTACAAAAATTGTATACTTTTTTATTCTACGTTTAGTGTATATATGTGTGTGCGTGTGTGTGTGTGTGAGAGAGAGAGAGAGAGAAAGAGAAAGAAATAAATGGGTTCAATGGATCTGGTAGGAAATGCAGTCGAAAAAGAGGTGACGGAAACAGTGCCGTCGATCATGCAATGCCTCCGATCACAGCGGCAGTGCAAACATGCATGCCTTAGGTGAAGAAGGCCTTTGAAAGAAAGTGGGAGGACTCTAACGAAGGCAAGTCCTCCTGCTGAAAAGTTAGAAAAAATATTGCGTTTCGTACGTTTCTCGCCCTCTTTTTCGACTACATATATATATGATTAAAAAAAGAAGTTCTGTGGGTCCGGTGCACATATATTCAAGCAATAAAGGAGCACATTTATGAAAATTGAATACTTTTTACTCTGATGGGTTATACACTGATGGGTCCGTCTCGTCCAGCAGCTCATCAGGTGCCGCTGTAATTCCGGCTGCAGCAATGACAATCAAGTTTAAGTTGTCGCATATGACTACATCTACGGCATCAGAGCTTGCTGCTATAAGGGCTGCTTTACAATATCTCGTTCAAGAACGCCCAGGAGAATGGGTCATATTCTGTGATTCGAAGGCAGCGCTTCAGAGTTTGCAGTCTGCCATGCGTAGGAGGAGTTATGACCAATTGGTACAAGAAATAAGACATTGCCATCATGAAGCTCTAGTAGAGGGCATGATATTATATATCAATGGCTGCCTGGACATATCGGTATTACCGGAAATCAATTAGCTGATGATGCAGCCCGCTCAGCCCATGAAGGAACACGTGTAGTCCCGATTCCTCTATCAAGGAATGATGCAGCAAGACAACTTTACCTGCTGGCTCGAGATCTCACACCCACGTTCTGGTCGTCTACCAGCTTCCAAAGGTGTCAATTTTATTAACTGGATCCTTCGCTCAAGCTAAAGCTACCATCACAACTTTCCCGCTCCGATGCGACACTGTTATGCCGCCTTTGGTTGGGTGTTGCATTTACAAAGGTGTACTCCTTTCGCATTGGTATGGCAGACACTCCTACATGCGACTACTGCGGAGCTGAAGAGACCATCGAACACGTCCTGTGCAGCTGCGCTTGCTACGACACACAGCGATGCCAGCTCCGGATGGTTTTGAATCAACTTGACCCCGGACCATTTTGTGTGCAGAAGATACTAGGACCTTGGGCATCTGCCTGAGTTGCGCAGAAAGCAACTAAAGCACTGCTACTTTACCTAAAGTCAACAAACCTGAGCGACCGCTTGTAGACTGTGTGTGCTCCCCGAGCGTGCTCGTGATTGTGTGTACCTTCTCATCTCTCTGCAACCTCTTTTCTCCCCTTTATCCCTTCTCCAGTGCAGGGTAGCAAACCGGATGTGCGTCTGGTTAACCTCCCTGCCTTTCCTTGCATCTTTATTTCTCTCTCTCTTTTACTCTACATTTCGGCCCTGGCACGGCCTTCGTCTGGATGAACAGAAATACGAGTGTGTGGCCGCTTTTATGGGTAGGCATGGACACGTGAGTACAAAACCCATGCAATCAGCATATGAGTATTCAAAAGTTTTCAAAACACCCGCGACAACACTAAAAAAGCATTAGGAAAAAATGTAATACAGTAGACAAGATCATAAGCATGAAAAAAGGAACTTGTAACATTGACCATTGATGACGATGATCATGCATGAAAAACAAAAAATATGTGGTAACTTTTAAGAAGTATTGACTGCGTTAGGAATGCTTCTTTAAATATTTTACAAAAACGTGCACCTCAGGGCTTCTTTTTTTAATTATTTTACCACTATGGGTCCCGGAAAAGCAACTACGAAAGTTGTTGACTGCAAGTACCCTAAGAGTGCCACATTGACAGCCATTTTGGGTGACTCGCAGACAAAATACCTATATCAACATTTTGATTCCTTTCATGTGGGTACATCAGCCTTCCTCTCTCAGAGTGGTACTATCATTAGTGAGGTAAGTTCACTATTGAATTTCGTGCCTCCGTCATCAGAAACACTCATCCTTCACATTGGCAGTAATGACGTCCCAATGTGTTCCGGCAACGTGGCTTTTGCCAGGTACCGCGAGATGCTGGATATCGTAACGAAACGACGCCCTGGGATATGTCGAACTTACGCAAGCCTCGTCCTGTCAGAATGCTGCAACCGCCGTCAAGGTAGCATAAACCAAGCCTTTGTGCAACGTTGCAACAACTCCGCAAGATTTTTCAGCCAGCTTCTTCGAAAATTTGGCCAAAGTTCAAAGCTGGTATTCTGCGTTGATCATGGATTTGAATGGCTCCCATCATCTCGCATGCTCGCAAGTGATGGTCTCCAAGCTTCGAGGGCTTTGCCCTACTTGCCTGTCACTTTAGGCAGTTGTGCTTCAAAAATCTACATGCGTATTTGGCTGCTTGGGAAGACTACACAAGCAGTGGAACTCCTTTTTATGTGCCTCGCGCCACGAAAACTCATTCTCACGAAAGTCTTCTGTCATCTGAGAAAGTTGCTGCACCCGCAAGAATGCCACCAAGTGGTATCCTAGCGATGAAAATTCGCCCAGCGACAATCCGAACAAGTGCGACAACGGCAAGCAAGACATATGCGCGCAGGGAAGCGACAAGCAAGCCAACAACAAGCCCGCCATTGACAAGCAGGACTTTTGAGAACAAGGCCACGACGAGAGATGCCATGAATAAGTTGATACCAACAAAAAAGACATCGCCAAGATGTGTACCTTCAACCAACGCAACGACCAGCCGGACAACGAGAAACAAGACACCGGCAAGGATGACAACCACAATAACGACAGACAACGCAGTGACTTTTAACAGTGTTACGAATAATCCAGTGAGTAGCAAGGCTACTCCAGCAGCTTCTCCGCGTCCCAGCGGTG